ACGATATCATTCGTTATGCATAATAAAACTCTATTTTGTGGCACGATAGTCGACTGTTAGCTCTCCGGAACAATGTCTATCCGTCACTGGGGACAGCCGGCGTTCCACTGTTGATTTTTCTTCTTGTTTTTTGTATTGTGGCAGAACAGCTGAGGTGTTATCTACCTGCAACTAGCGTGTATAACAATGATGATGATGATGAAGCCTGTCAGGTAGTCATTGACCTGTACGCTCCACTACTGCCAAACAATATGGTTGGCGGCATCCGGTTTCGGATTTGCCTGTCATTGTGGCCAGCCACAGGAGCTTTGCGCCTACAGAAGGACCATGGGCAGCTTGCGCTGCACCACCCACAGCTCCAACCACACACCCCATATCCAGTGTAAACCCGAAGGAATAAGACCGGGAGGCATGTGGATGGGAGCCACGTTTCATCAACGGAGCCGGCCCACACTCCTGCACAGGCAAACACAAGCACACTGTATGTGGGGAATCAAGCGCACACAAGGCGGTGGCTGGACCGTAGTCCGCTCCACACTGACAGCATGGAACCGCCCTTTGAGCCTAACACGGCCACAAGGACCGTGCACCCTGTCCCCTCCAGCAACGACCAACTGTCTCCTAGAGCCAGTATGAACGAGGTAGTGGGTAATAGGCAGGTAGGCACCTTGTCAACATGCATATCAAGCGCGGACACACCGGGGATATCAAGCAACTGCCATCCACTTTAAACGACAAGCTGAAATAAAATAAATCCAATAATGCATACAGATACGGTGGCATAACTCTTCCCTAAATTAGCATATGAAGTAAGATGGTTAGCAACGAATCCGCGATAAGTAAGAAATGTCCACAAGTTACTTAAAAATGCTACAAACGCAACAAAAGTACCGAAGATAAGTGCAATTAGCGTAAGCAACGTGGCCAGTTAATAGAACATTATTCAGGTAGGCAGAACAAACCGAATAAAGTGGAATGAAATTTATCCAGCTTTAAAATACCTAGTTTAAGTGTAAATTGGTTTAGCCCAACTGCGGTGTAGAAGCATCAAGATTGCAACATCAGCCTCAGCATGGGGCACAATATATTCGTGTAACTACTGAGGTAGCGTGCCACCTATTCCGTAAGTCCTCAGTTTACAAAGGGTGGTTCACTCTGTCAAACGCCTGACTAAAGCCGATATACTCCATTTTAACATCTTTCCGTTCGTTGAGAGCTCCTACCCACTAGTGTGTTTGCGTACACCAAGTTGGTGATGAAGGATGGACCTTTCGTCAAGCCGTGTTGTGCTGGCGTCAATGCGTATATCGATGCAAAGGTCGACAGCAGATACTTTTTCCCAACCTTCTCGGTCTATAATTCCTTACTTTAATCGGAGCACTATCCTTGGGAAGCGATGTCGCCATCGGCGTTTACAGTCGTTGGGGACAGATCATTCAGAGAGTGATTTATTGTATAGTTTTGTCACAGCTGGTGAGATGGCATTCGATTGGGACATACGTATTAGTGGGTGAAGTCCGTCTGGTCCGGGGGGCTTTGCAATATAAAGGTTGATGGGCAGCTGATACACTTCGACTGCATCACATTGTAGCATGTCGAACAAGACTGGCACAACCTGTGCCGGTACTGGAACAGTCACCGCTTTACTGGAAAATACGGTGAGGAAGTGCCTATCCATAGCGCCCGTGCGCTCCGCGCTTAAAATGAGCGTTTGTCCGTTCAAGCTTTCTAAGACGGATAGATCGCGCACGGGTTTCACTCGACGTTTCAAGTAGGAAAATATTTTCTTGGTGGCCATTGTGCCCGGAACTGCCAGCTACCCTTCGGACTGTTTGCGTTTTTTGAGGTTTGTGGCGTTACATGTGTTACGCTGTTTCTTTTACACTGTAAACTTCATCACAACCCGAGCTGATGTAGCTATCCCAAAGTTTGCGACGCTGTTGCGCTGATTGCTTACATTCCGTATCAAAACAATGCGGGTTGACAGGTCCGATTTCAACTACTTCAGGAGAACGAACCAAGTACACAGCGAGTTAGACTTCCCCTTCATTAATGACCGACAAGCCTCAAGCGACGCATTCTGTAGTAGTGTGCAATCGGTCTGAATTGTGGCTTGGAGGAGCCCGTTGAAGTCCGTCTTCCAATTGTAAAATGTCAGCTTCTCTTGGTTGTAATACGGTAATGACCGTTCTATGCCTGCCACAATGGAGCACTGGTCATTGTTGGCCAGATGTTCGAGGACTCTGATCTCTTTCAGCTTCTGCCCGCAGCTCCTAAAAGTTAGGTCCAGACAAGAGGCGGAGTGCGAAGTTATGCATGTCGGTTGAATGACATGTTGCCCCGATTTCAATAGCCTTTTCAGCTGATTGAGCCTCAGCCTCGCCATGACCGGGAAGAATCCGAACGTTTGGCCAGAATATCTTGGGAAAATTTATATCCCCTTCCGTAGGATTTGCGGATGAGTCATGTGCTTCTGTATATATTTTAGCCAATCGCAACAACGGTTTAATGATCTACGGTAGATAACACCCATCATTAGTTTTATGCGTCTGAAACGGATTGTGCACCACAATTGCTCGCGTAAGTCCTCCTCGATTCGATAGGTGCTGGTAAGTTTGCCAGCTAGTGAAGATTTGATGTACAACATAACTCCACCGTGAACCTTTGATTTTAGGGGCAAATCGAAAACTAGAGTATCCCGACAACGCGATTTTTGGGGGTATGACTTCGGAGTTCAGCCAAATCGCTGCAAGTCCTGAATATTTACAAGCACTACCCGAGTCTTGCTTTGCGATTAACCATTGTGTCACACCATTTGCATGGTCTGTAATACAACGGTACTCAGCGGATATGGCCTGAAACGGAGGAGTCGGCTTTCAGCTAGGCTAAATGTGCGTTGGCCAATCCACCGGCTTTGGCTCACTTTGACGATGAGATATGATGCATCACCTTACGGAATCTGGGATGCCCCGTTATAATCGGATGCGAGAACAATAAACAAAACTATTGTCTTACTTCAGAGAGATTTGGGAACAATCGGTCAACGAAATTACACTCAAATTGACAAGGAGGCTTTGACCGTCGTGTTGGAGATTACTCGTTTCCATCAGAGCCTTTTTAAACGGAAGTTTACAATACCATTAAACCACATGCCACTGTGAGGCACTGTAGGAGAATTACAAGCAATATCCTAAATGATATCGTCCCAAATTCTTCACTGGATCCTACTACTCCCGAGCTAAGAGTATCAAAGGAAATATCTTCCCGGTAAAGATAATCAGTAGGTCGATACTGTCAGCCGAATTCTGTTACGGAAAGTTACAGGACACCCACCAGCTTCGAGAGCCAGGTGCTAGTGATATCTTGGTTGGATGTCTCACCAATAACAGCAACGCTGGTAAACTTGGAAACGCGGAGTGACCATGAACTGTTGAATGCTCGTCCTTATCTGAGAATGGTTTCACCAGATAGGGTAGGTGAGAGTATAAGGTTATTTCACAAATCTAGAGCGGAACTAAGCCTCGAGAATGGTTCGGGCTCCTTGTGCCCGTCCCCAAACTACATCTTCAGGAAACTTTGAATGGCGCCGAATGAAGAGTCCAGATCACAATTGTGTCCGGTGACCGACAGGAAAGCAGGAGACAGAACAAATAGTGCAGTTGCACGCTATCAGTCGAGAGAAAAATATCATTCTCACACATTGCGCCAATGTCACTTAGCAATGTCTTTCTATACCGTGGAGCCGAATACACACTGATTTATATGCGCCATCAACTGCTCCATGGCGCTGGTTGTAGTGGACGTACATTCCAGCTGGATCGAAGCCCGGCATCTACATCCATGGCTGGGTTGACCACTGCGCATATAGCTAAGATCATCCGGGTTACGCATGGTGTACCGTGTGCAGTTGTCTCAGATAGTGGCTCCGCTTTTATCAGCGACTAGATCGGACAATTCTTTGGGGCACATTCTGTCGGTACCATACCACTTTTCGTTCAATGGTATTGCCGAGATAAAGTTTGTGGCAATCAAACAGGATGTTGACAGACAGAAGTATGGAACTTTACAAACCCGCCTGTGCAAATTCCTACTGCAGTACCACAACTCACCATATAGTACCGCGCATCATCCACCATGTGAACTAGTTTTAGGAATTTGCTGTGCACTCGGTTGGATATAGTCAAACCGGACCTGCATGGAATGGTCGTTAATCGCCAGTCTTCAACGGAGCAACGTTTGATAGGAGAACGAAGGTTTTTTGAGGTTATGACAGGCGACAGGGTATATCGTAAACTGAGGACAACGGACAAAACGTAGATCCGATAATTTACGAGAACAAAAAGTGATAGTGCAGCGGAGACCGAAATGGAGGACGGGCGCATACTTCACTGTTAATTGGACCACGGCCCGGGGTAGCCTCTGAGACCAGAAGATGTGCATGCAGATCACTATGGCCTGGACCCTTAAGAGCCTCACCAAAAGCATTGCCATATGGAGACGACTATTCGATACCTATATGACCATGGTAGTTAGTTTTTGAGAGGCAAGGAATAGGACTTTATTAAACAGGAGCAATTTAATCTTGCAGCAAAGGACTGTTATGATTGGCTATCATGAGCCACTGTCCGTCGAAGGTGGATAAAAGTGTCATCAAGAAGACTTAAATTGGTCCAGCGTGCACGTTACAGCCGTCCTTTTACGTATCGTTCAGCACTATTCCTTTTTGGATAAATTTCCTGTATTTTAGTAGCTATGGGTAGTTATAATAGGGCAAAGTAGGGAACGTAGTAGTTCTCTTCGATTGTCACGGTGTTACGGAAAGAAGGTGTGCCAACGATTAGGTGTTGTGACAAGTAAACGCCTGATCACGAACTCCACGAACTCCGAGGAGCAACTGAGCTGGTTATAGACAAACAGTTAAATGGTAGTGTTATACAATCCCATCTGCAGGGTTGATACATCCAGGCATCAAGTGATTACTGGTAACGTTGCTCACTTACCGTCGTGTGGGTGTAAGCGTAGCCGTCCGGATTCACCAAGGGGACGACAATGAACTGGTAGTCATTCAACAATGACTGTCCCCCAGGAGTTAAAAGCTACAAAATGGGACATGTAACAGTGTATCGGGAACAGTATGCTGTCTCGCAATCTAAATGGTCGCATGATGTGAGAAAGAAAATGAGTAACCTCTGTCAGCTACTTCTAATGTGAAGATCTTGACACATTTTGCCATGGATGAATCAGAGCTAGGGAGTTTTAGATCACAGAGTAACAACTGTCACCGCGCTAGAGGACCAAAGTATTAAATGTGGAGGTCATGCCTGCAACTTCATTTCGCTAATTCACAAAGCCACCTAGCACTGTGAGCGAAACCCTGCCTTGCCGTTAGCAGCAACAGTTACAGGCTGGATCCTACTTCATTAGGCGTGATGCGTTTCACACATGCGTCAGCTGTACGTCGTAACGGCGCTTCGCTGCCGCGCGACCACCACCAGTCGCGCGCGGGCTGAGTATACCGCGAGGACGCCCACCCCTACGCGGATTCGCAACGGTGACCTTATGGTTGCAAAGCAAACGTGTAGACCACTCGGCCACCGGCCGAATCCTTTATTTAGTCACTGGTGGATAAGTAGGCATTAAAGTGAACTATTACTGTTTGCTAACTACACCACAACGTTTATGAATTAGAACCACCAGTGCTGTCGAAGTTACTCTTGTCATTTCCATGAAAAGTTTTTTCCTAAACTGCCCCGTGTGTCTGAGACAAAGATGGTAGGTAACTCAGCTTCCAAGTGTTAAAAAATCCATTTGGAGCCTTCTGAATGAACACTGAAGCGCCCAAAATGATTAAATATGGATAAGTTAACGCAACGAAGTTGCAGCTGTGTTCCACTAGGTGCGCTGTGTGAACCCATTTGCTGATACTATTCAGCAGTAACTTGGGTTTTGATTACTGTGTGCTGCATTGAACTCTCATAACTACATTGCACGAACTGGCCCTCTTTAGTCTACGTACTTATATGAATTTTGATGTTCGAACTCGGAATGGCGAGGTGTCGCCTTGAATGCCACCTATGGTAAGTGTAACAAGGACCATCTGTCGCTCTCAAGCACAAGTATATAATGGGTGGGGTTCACTATCTTAAAAACAGCTAGAGCAGGATTGTATTCGTAAAGTATACCGCGAAATCAGCATGAAAGCTACTGAAGATGCCAAATGTAGCTCTCCAGATTTAATGAAGGTGGGCCTCCGTTGAGGTCGATTTTCTTCTGAGTGTCGGAAAACGGATACGATTCGTCGCAGTTTACCTTGCGAAATCCGATTACACCCGTGAGTAACACATTTGCGTCGGACAGAATCTCATCCAAGGAAATGAATAAACTACAGCTCTATTCGATCTGCGCAACGGTGACAAGCTTGACAAAACTGCAGACTTACCATTTAAACTCCTGCCTACCTCCAAAGCCATGTGCACAGGGATTTGACTGATGGAGTAATTGCAACGTCGCTTAGCCTGATCCCAAGTCAGTTGTGCACATCCCAGTAAAACTCGATTATTATCCTATTCTTTATTAGTCTTTACAACACGTACGACTCATTATGAAATCCCAAAATCTTCCCATGCGTAAATTGATGCCAAACATCGTGACAACAATAGGGTCGGGATATGGATAGATCAGGCCATAGCGACTAGGACCACACTGCTTTAACTATAATTAGGTTCATTTCAGATAGGTTGGAATTCGAGGCTGCAGGACGGAGCTAGTCCGTAACGATCGCCCAAGCAAAGGCTGCAGTGACTGTACCATAACACGTACTTGTAGATTATCAAGTGATATAGGTCGCTTATTATCTCTGATGACGTCTACGATAAGATCTTGATGATCTATTTCACGCGGAAGTCCATTTTCGACCCTCAATATCTGCCTCAGAGATAAGGTCTCGCTTGTTGTTTGTCCTGCTACTAACAAAGGTTAAACAAAGAGCCAGCTTGTCATCGTCCATAACTACAGTTTACAAGGTCAGGAGATCTGCACCCTATTGAGTAGACAATTCACGGTCAAACTGCAGCCACTCGTAGTAAGCATTCCGCATTGCACTCCTAGCCCTCTATTACCCACGCAGAGACAGACGATTCGTCATACCGCACTTTGTGTTAAGAAAGTGTACCTCATAATTAATGCGTGCGCAATAGCCAGTCTTTTAAGCTTCAGCGAACATGTAATGATAATGCTTAACTAAATTTGTTATTGCAAGTGTCCGAAGAAATACCTGGTATCGATGGGTTTAATCGCACGCATCTACCTCAAAATCAAGCTCCTTCAGGTGGAGGATTAACTAAATACTTTTCTGATAGTATCTAGATATAATAACTGCGTCAGTCTAATCGCAAACACACCGGAAAACGCATTCTATTTTTGTAACGTTCCATCGCGTAACCATGGTAAGACTAGAAGTACCACGTCAAAGGCGACTCCAGTGAACTTCCCCGTAATGTATTTCGCGGATCTGAAACTTACAGTAATTATGTATTCAGGCGTAACTGGTGTGCTCAACTTGTATTGAGAGCAAAAATAACCCCCTTACTGGGTTCAATGGAACCGTGATGCGCCAATGTTTTGTTACTGTGAGAAAACGTCATTGACCTTGGTATACTGATACATAAGACATCACAGCAGAATGACGGCAGCAAACCAATTGGATATTTGCCGAAATCCGATGGCTCTACACCCAAACGCTCCGACGTGTTATGTATCCGCACCATGCAACTAAGCCTTCATGCATACTTCGCTCACAGCAGAAGTTAGTCAGCTGCTGTACTCAGGAACTTGCTTTCGCTGTATCCAACGCGTTTTTTTGGAGACTCTAACCTTCTCCCGAGAGCAGTAGAAGCAGTAACCAAAGAACTAATCCCCATTTTGATGCAAGTAGTTACAATGGAATCAGCAAGAGACGTTTACCGGTTTCCTTGTTCCTGTGATAGCAAACACTTAGACCGGACTGAAAGACGACTGCCGAATAGGTGTATCGGGCACATTCTACGGAGGTTAACATTAAATGGACTTCAGTTACCCGCTAGTTTTACAGTCACACGCGTGTTCAAATGCACGATTTACAAACACCACATGAGTAGGGAAGCTATCCAAACGTTCGACTATTCAGTGAGGCTCCGGCCATTCAGATGGTGTGGCCAAATGTATGAAAACAATTGCCCACCTAGACGTGATCCCCGTGCCATGGTAAGATGCAAGTTATATCATTATTTGCGACAGTCTAAACTACTCTCATTATTACATGACTACCTAGGACGTAAGATAGTTGGGGAACACACCATGCATAGCACCTCTCAGGCGCGCTACCTTGGGCCGCCTGTTCGGAATGGTCTTGCCTGCTGTAATCACAATTTTCTAATCCGGAAGCCAACAAGTCCTCTATTGTGGGGCGTGTTCGGGCAGGTGGACTTTTCTAATATCCAGGTACTTGTTCAGTAAAGACCAGAGAACTAGGTGGAAGGCGCCGTTCTGACGCAGTGCTCTTACTAAAAACCCAGTTCGGCCTACGTGCCCTTTTGATGCTTCACCTCAACTTAGAATGGAATCCATGGTAGCACCTAGTGGACTGTGGTACTACTTAAGGAACACAGGTGTAACGGCGTAATAACGCCTCAGATTCGTTTACTATCATCACTTGAATATTATTCGCAGATCGATGTAATGAAATATTGTCCAAATTCGATCGGGAATCATAGTCCGCTGGAGTGTCACCGTAGTTGTTTCCTTGTTCCATTATGCAGGCAGCTGTACACGTTACACTCTGTTTTTAAACTTTTATCATTTGCTTTCCACAAACGAATTGACGACTTGCTGGTCCATCCACCCTGTTTTCACCCAGTTCATTGGACGGCCAGAGCGGGAGCAAACGGTATGTTAGTCAACCTTTCTCCAGAACCGCAGGCAGTCTCATCTATACCTAATTACATTCAACATCAGGTGATCCCAGCAGAGTAAATATTAATTCAGTTATACGTGAACATGTGAGTTTAGTTTTTACCTCCTAAAGTTTCCAATCACAGCATATACTGTCTTCCCATCCATGTAACTCTTTGAACCCTATTCCCAAACTGTACTTTCGTTTCTTCGTGTACTGTACGTTTATTCCCCCTTTCTTTTGCTACCCTAGCCGTATTCTTCGATAAGTTGTTATCTCTCCCGACATCCGGTAAAGGCTAAGATTTTCTGTATACACAGTTCAGCGCAACTCTGCATGACCTCACCGTACGCCTCTACCTCCAGCACCACACCTATCACTTTATGTTTACAAGTGCATCTACAAACATATCGACCTCAGTGCCCTTCAAAGCTCAGCCAGCCATCTTTCTATTGTGCGAATAGCTGATCCCATCATTTCGCTTGTCCTATAAGCACACTGTGCACTGTGGTGCAGTTAACGCGTACCTTGTCATTCTGAAGACTAGTTTACTGGATTTTGGACCGAATTGCTTGCGATGCAGCTGCTTTGAGATGAAAACTTGTTGCCGTGGACAATGGACAATGGACAATGGTTTATTACAGATAAAAAAGCATCGCTTAACAAGTCCCGTGAGATGGAAATTATTGCGAAAATCAATTGCATAATAAAGTGAAAAGCGTTGTGGTGGATTCACCATAGACTTATGTGGAATAGCGGAGATGTTTGCATATTAAACGTATAAATCCATAAATCCATTGGTTAGGCGTGATGCCCGTCGACAGTGCCTACTCATATGTTCGCGAGTAATACAGTTATCCGGTTCCGACATAATTGTTTGTTTGATCCCAGTGGAAGCCCATTGCTCAAAGCTTACAAACGAGTCTGTCGCTTATGACAATTTGAACTATAAGCATCAGCTGTGCTGGCCATAAGAAGCCAGGGCTCAGATGCAATAACAGTATACCGATGGCACCATAATCCCTGATTGCATGGCGGTCCAAAAATCGACCATATGGTAAGGATACGGATGCTTTAATACCTTCCAATAAGCTATTACAGAGTCAGTAGCCAACTTTTGTGATACCGCACGAAATGCAGAAACTCACTTTATCAACGAAATACATGGCGGCGGCCGGGGCAATCCACTCACGAGCATGCATCCCGGCATCGATCCAGATTATGGGCTTTGAGTGGTCAGTAGAAATCTGAGACAAATCCGATGTAAATAGATTGTATGTAAAACCCATCGAACACATTCATAACGGTCAGCTAATGGTGGTCTTGGAACGAGTGTTGTTTGAAACCACTTGAAGGCCATATAAATTTGTAGCAGCACTAATCTCTAACGGGTGTGAGGACGTAGTCATTTCGTAAAGAAAGTGCATCAAGATAAACTATCCATGGTCAGCGGGGCACGCACGACATACGAGTAGAGGCTGTGCGCTTGAATAAGCAAGAGAAGCCTGTGGATTGGAGAATTTAAGTTACTTCAACTGTACTGGTATTTCGAATGGTAGTGGGTGAAGATTAAGAGGAAGTATTGCGACAATAATAACCAAATTACATCAGAAGCACGGGAACGCAGTAGGGACGAGGTACAACGAAACAATGGAATATTACGGGCACAAAAGCAGATGCTTAGCAAGTGCTGTAGGATGGCCAAAAAGCGAACCATAACATGTTGAATAGAAAACAAAGGGATAAAATGAAAATCGAGTTGGTTGACTCACCACAGTGTTAACACATAGGCATGCAGAAAGGGACAAACTCAGTTGTGTAGGTTAATTCTGGTTGTGCAACCTTCGTCGCATTAGATCGTCTGTCGAGACACCGGCTATATCTCGTAGTGTAGGTGGGTTAGGGAAACCTCAAGAAGTTTTATAAACACAAGTGAAGTGGGGGCGGAACCAACGTAATTTGGGATGGCGTTCCATGGTTGGCACACACGAAGAGAGTAAAAAAGAGCGAGTAAAAGATAAGATCACAAGTGTTTGTTGCTTGGCGCAACCGAAGTTCGGCGCGTTTGCTGAGGATGCCTCGGGCATTCGTGTACAGGCAGGAAGGTGTTTCTCTTCTCAGTAGCGATCCCAGACTCTTGTGGCTAGGATGTAAGGTGGTGCGGACCGTTGTGTGCTCGGTCGCTATTCGCTTTTTGTGGTATTTTCGGCAAGTCGCTTGGAGTTGGCTTCAGTGGCATCTTGATTATCCCCTCTGACAACTCAATTTGCATCATGTATGGGAAAGTGGTCACAGGATTGCACAAGAAGCTCCTTACTTCCTTCAGACCTGCTTCCGGTGTGAATTAAGGATAAGTTCACTACTTCGTTCGCTTGCTGTGGTGGTGTTTTAAGTCGGACAGTTTCACTCGCCGCTTTGAACCGGCGCTCGCTTAACGGCCTATTCCGAAGTGAATGCCAGCGTTCCAGTAGCGTAAGTGCCATCTGCCTAGTTTGTATCACAATATTATGTATCCTCGGGCTGCACTCTTTGAAGCACTCTGATTTTGACAGCTTTGACAGAGAAGTCGCAACAACGTCCTTCAAGAGCAGTGTCACACAAATATAGCTCCACTGCTCCTGATCGTGTGCCTTTGTTGCGCATTCTTCGTTCGCGTGAGACAGGGAGACACGATAGACGAAAACGGTTCTGACTGCGGTGTTTAACCGAAACACAATTAAGCTCTGCATTGCTCGCTTGCGCTCACTCCAGGGAAAGTCTGGTAAGACATGGACGAAGCCGATTTCGTTCTGGTGACCAGCAGTCGAAAACAACGCTGCTTCCACATCATGGACAGAGATTAGCACAAGCCGAAGAGACCTGGCTTCGCCATAATCCTTTGCATTCGAGTGGTGGGTGGTCCTCGCCAAGTCAGAGGTTTTATTCAGGATACCGAGAACGTTACTTATGGCACAATATTGGTTTAGGTCACCCACCTGTTTTTTCTACAAAAAATAAGATGTTCAAAGCAGTTAGTTCCATTCAACAATTTGAAAAGCACGGAAAGAAGACGAAGGCTGGTAGATGCATGCATTTCTTATTGTCTCCTCAGTACCATTAACAATAAACGATAAGCATAGATATAGCTAACAGTGGGTGCAACCAGATAAGCTTAAGGTGCAAAACGAATGACGGAAGTTCACACCTACGTCCAAGACAGCTTTAGGCTGACAAATAATTGTTTCTGAACACACAAGGTTGGCTTAATCCGGCTAATTGCGACAGCCTCAGCAAACCGAATGAAGCGGGGATTAGTGTGACGTAACACAACTTTAAACGCTGAGCCCAGCTCTAATTGGTGACTCGAGTCTAATAGGTGTTTGCCTATCGAGGAAGCCGGCGGTCTGCGCGAACATGGAATCTGACGAGGGTAGGCAATCTGAGCAACTTCACGTTGAACCCATCTTGGCACATGTTCCTTCATTCGGGAAGTCAGCATTCTATTGGTTCTGCCTATGTAACTTTTTCCGCAGTCACGTACCAATTGGTATGCACAGTGTGAGTTGGCCCCAATAGGCTGAGCTTCCTTCGTTGGAGGTATGGGCAAATTTCGGGTTCGGTTGATAACGACAACTTGTGCAGCATAGTAACTTCCTTGAGTAGGCGAAATTATACGCTTAGTTGTCTTTAGCGTGGCTAAGTCACCTTTGAAAGGTAACTCGATATACACTTTCTTCTTGGCTGCCGTGTGCACCAAGTCCTTTGGTCCTGGCGGTTGGCTGTGTTTCTCGAAAAAAATCTTCGAGGGTAGCCATTCGCCATTAGTGTTGCTGTAATTAACACTAGCTCATCGTCCAGACAGTCGGCCTAACAAATTCGTCTGGCACGACTAACTAGAGTCTTCACAAGTGTCCGTTTGTAACGCACTGGTCGAGGATCTGCCTCTGTGTTGCCGGATTGTTTTCACTAACTTTGTAAATCAACGCTTGATGGTACGAGAGGAAATCGCTCCGCACGTTTAGAAAATTCGCTGACGAACAACCAGGAGGAGGACTTAATTGCTCGTGATCCCAGTAAGTACGTGATGAATTTATCGAACGTACAACTTGATGCGTTGCAATTAGAAGCATTATCACTTGGGCTTGATTACAAAGTCCCCCCTAGGAAGTTGAACTGCTTGTTTATAGAAGCCCAATCTGAGAACATTTTTGACCAGTTTAAGGAGCTCCAACCAACCAGCCCTGATAAGCATATTTGTTTCAGAAACAAGTTAACTGAAATCGCCCATGAGGTGAAAACTATGCCAGTTAATGAAAAATGTGCCATCACAGCTCGACATTTTCAGGCTTTACGTGAACTACGAGCTAAGGACGTAGTCATAAGGAAACCAGATAAAGATTCAGGAGTGGTAATCATGAATAAAACCGAATACAACGAGAAGATGTGCGCCATCCTCAACGATGCGAGTAAACTAGAACGGCTCACGAAAGTGGAGGACATAACCAATGTCGAAATGCGCATAATTCGTCACCTGGAATTACTTCTCCTCCACCGCTTGATAGACTTTGATACATTTAATAGTCTGAAGCCGAGTGGTAGCACTATTCCACAGTTGTATGGGTCGCCAAAGACACATAAGAGTGAAGTGCCACTCAGGCCAATCCTTTCAATGATGAACGCGCCCCAGCACAAACTCGCTCGTTGGTTAGTGAAGTTGCTCGCTCCGCTGAAACAACAGTTCAATCCGTACAGTCTTAAAGACTCGTTTCAACTCATTGATGATCTGGATGAACTCAACCTGTCAGACAAAGTTATATGTTCTTTGGATGTAGAATCCTTATTTGCCAACGTGCCGCTACATCAGACGGTTGATTACGTGTGCTAATTAGCTGAAAACGATGGCTGTTCGCTACCAATTCCGACTGAATTGTTAAGAGAATCTCTACTATTGTGCACGGAGAATGTGGATTTTCACTTCCGGAATACACCATACCGTCAGATTGACGGGGTAGCAATGGGTAGCCCATTAGGTCCTGTGCTCGCTGATTTCTTCATGTTAATGGTAGAAGGAAGCATTTCTACAGAAATAGCCCAGGTGCCATACTACAAAAGATATGTCGATGATATTTTGGCTTTCTGTTCGTCGGAGCAGCAGCTCACACATTTGATAGAACAGCTCAATGGTGCTCATGTTAACTTACGGATTACACGTGAAATAGAGCAAAACAATTTTCTACCATACCTGGACATGCTCATAACTCGTAGGGAGGATGGACTGATTAAGAGGTACATTTACCGAAAATCGACTTGGTCCGGTCAGTACCTGCACTTCACCAACTTCACACCAGTGCGTTACAAACGGACACTTGTGAAGACTCTAGTTAGTCGTGCCAGACGAATTTGTTAGGCCGACTGTCTGGACGATGAGCTAGTGTTAATTACAGCAACACTAATGGCGAATGGCTACCCTCGAAGATTTTTTTCGAGAAACACAGCCAACCGCCAGGACCAAAGGACTTGGTGCACACGGCAGCCAAGAAGAAAGTGTATATCGAGTTACCTTTCAAAGGTGACTTAGCCACGCTAAAGACAACTAAGCGTATAATTTCGCCTACTCAAGGAAGTTACTATGCTGCACAAGTTGTCGTTATCAACCGAACCCGAAATTTGCCCATACCTCCAACGAAGGAAGCTCAGCCTATTGGGGCCAACTCACACTGTGCATACCAATTGGTACGTGACTGCGGAAAAAGTTACATAGGCAGAACCAATAGAATGCTGACTTCCCGAATGAAGGAACATGTGCCAAGATGGGTTCAACGTGAAGTTGCTCAGATTGCCTACCCTCGTCAGATTCCATGTTCGCGCAGACCGCCGGCTTCCTCGATAGGCAAACACCTATTAGACTCGAGTCACCAATTAGAGCTGGGCTCAGCGTTTAAAGTTGTGTTACGTCACACTAATCCCCGCTTCATTCGGTTTGCTGAGGCTGTCGCAATTAGCCGGATTAAGCCAACCTTGTGTGTTCAGAAACAATTATTTGTCAGCCTAAAGCTGTCTTGGACGTAGGTGTGAACTTCCGTCATTCGTTTTGCACCTTAAGCTTATCTGGTTGCACCCACTGTTAGCTATATCCATGCTTATCGTTTATTGTTAATGGTACTGAGGAGACAATAAGAAATGCATGCATCTACCAGCCTTCGTCTTCTTTCCGTGCTTTTCAAATTCGATGTTCACTCAGGAAGGTTAGTACATATTATAGATAAGG